CACACACACACACACACACACACACACACACACACACACACACACACGTGGGGGTTGGGTATGAGCGCACAAGAAAATGGTGGGAAGCATGATAGTCGAGGGCGGTCTACCTCTAACCACAACCTAGCCCTAAAAACATAGCTGGTTTCTGTTTGTTTGTTTTTAACTTTGTATTGATTCTTTGTGAGTTTCACATGCTATACCCCAGCTCCACTTCTTTTCCTGTTCCCTGGTTTCCACCTCTGCCCTTGCAACCTCCTCCACAAAATAAAAATGCAACAAACAAACAAAAAAATAAACAAAACAAAGTCTAGAAAGCAGCTCCTCGTGGAGGCTGAGCTGTGTCACAGTGTGTCCCACAGTGTACCCCTCTGTCCATACATCTTCACTTGCAAATGTTCATTGCAATGTGTCATTGGTCTGGTTCGAGGCCTCTGGCCTCTGTGGCACCATCAATACTGGATCCTCACTGGGACCCCTCCTGGTTATCCTGTGTTACCCTGTGTCATGGAGATCCTGCAGCTTTGGATCAACATGAGTAGCCCTTTCATGTACCCCACCAGTTCACAAATGATGTAGATTTTGGGGTTGGCCAACTCAGAGCCCTGGATCTGGGCCTGTGTGGTACCTAAGCTGACCAGCCCACCCACTCTCCCTTATCCAGTCCACCACCTCAAGCTCTCCAGCGCTGCTCTGGCTAGGCCACCCAATGCCACCACTGGCAGGAGGCAGGGTCAGCTCTTCCGCTCTCGTGCCCTCGGGGCCAGCTCACCTGCTGCCTCCTGAGACAGCTCCTCTGTGCTGCCTATTCAAGGCACACACTCCCTGAAGTGCTGCAGCCATGGAGGGACTGAGTCAGCTTTCCCACTCTGTTCTTTGCCATCAGGGCCAGCTCCACTGGGCAAGGTGCAGGGCCCGATTTTCTAAGTGCTTCAGCCAGTGAGGAGCAGGGATAGCTCTCTAACTCCAATGACGAAAGGGCCAGCTCTCCTGGCTACCACAGTT